CAATGTGGGTGGAAGTGAGATGGCATCCAGGGAGAAGAGACCCCTAGCGCCTTCGAAATCCAAACAGAAGGCGAATAATGATAGCAGCTCGCTGCCTGCTGCCGACAACAATCGAAGCTGTACTAAGAAATCAAAACTCTTGCCAAATCCCAGAACACAGTTAGCTCGTGATATATTCGAGGCCGTGGCGACGGGCAGCCAGTTACCGGCAAAGCTTGAGGCGAGTTTGCCCCGTAAGCGGGTTCTTCAGACAGCCCTCAAACGTAAGCAGAAGGCAAAAAAGACGCTTATAAAGGTCAAGCAGAAGGTACCGATTAAAGCCCTCAAGAGAATTGCTGATGCCAAGAAGATTTTGAATAGAAAGAAGAGAGCAGTAAAGTCATTAGCTCGGCAGTTGACAATTGACAGTACTATAGAGAGTAGTCCTGAATCAGAGGAGACGAAAAGTAGTAAGGATGTGTTTTTTATGTGAAGTACGTGTCCCAAATCGACATTAAGGTTTCTTAATTAACTGCGAAAATTGCAATCTAACTATAGATTAGAAATTGTTACTTTAATCAAGAATTGGGACTGTTAATTTAGTAGATTGGAGCGTAACATTTTTTTTTAATTTTCTATTTCATTTGATATATTAAATTTAAGTAACTTCGTTAATGAAAATTTATTTCATTAAAAGAAATAAATTTAAGTTCTAAAACTTAAGTCTTTTTATTAAACATTTTCAGTATTTTGAATTGACCATTAAGGTCCACTAATACTTTTTATTTATTTATTTAATATATTAAAATTTAATGAACAATATATTCTTTGGTATTATTAAAGACATTAAGAAGATTCATATTATATTATTTAACATAATTTGTGGAATGAATTATTATTTACATAAGTATAGATGCGGTATTATTTGTTTGGGTTTGAACATTCCTAGAATTATTAAGAAGATGTGAAAATTTTTGCTGATGCTTTGAATTTATAATTAGATTAAGTGTCCGTAAAATATTTTAAATTAATTTATGAATAATACTTTATCAACTTGATAAGTAATTCAAATTTTAAGAAAATACTGATATTTGTAAGGCTGTACAGATGACTATAAAGTCAATAAAATTTTTAAGAGTATAAAACCGCCAAAAAGTCAAAAGTTCCTGCAAAAATTAGCGAAGAAGCGGAGAGTGAGACTCTGGACAAGAGCAGTCCAAAGTTGGGCAAGAAGATTATAGAGTCTTCTCCAAAGAGTGCAAAAGGTAGCAAGGCAGCGGCAGCATCAGTAGTACAAAAGAGGAACGATAGCAAGGAAAGAGATCTAAAGGTTAAGCGAAGTTTGAGTAAGGAACCAGAAGATCTAAAGCAGGTGAAAACAGAGTCAGTTAGTGATAACTCTTATGAGCTTACAATAGAGGAGGTCATAGCTTCTTCGATGCTCGTTGGACCTGAAGTGGTTAAGGGACAACAGTCTGCTTTGGAAGGTGAATTAAAAGGGAAGAGGATTTTAAAAAATATAACTATCAAGAGAAGTTTGAGGAACGGAAAACTTCGCCAGTCTTTATCAATAATTGAGACAGGTATTAACACTATTTAATATATTTTAAAGAAATATCTTCAGGTGTATTTTGCTATGAAAAATTATTGCATCAGACTAAGGACTGCTCTTGTAATCATAAGAAAATATTTTAATATTCACTTTATTTTTATGAAAATAGTATTATATTGTCAAATGCTTTTATTTATTAATTAAATATGTAAATTCTTTAAATAAAAGTGCTTGGAATAAAAGTGAATATTTCATGCATAAAAGTAGACATTTATTCCAAAGTATTAGAAATTTATTTAAACAAGAGATAGAGAAACTACTATATCTTATATCAAAGAATCTTTAAAGAACCTAAATACAGCTATGTTTATGTAAACACAAAAGTAATATAAAATTAAAAAAAAAATGTTAATAATTAGATAGTTAGAAGTAATCTTAAAACTAACTGACCGGGAATTATTTTCCCTTGGATGCATATAAAACCAACTTTTTTAATGCACAGAATCTGATCAGAAGAAGATTTCCGCCATGTCGGAAACAAACGTGGACAATGGTGTAGAGACAAAGTCTGCCAGTTTGTCTGACAGCGTTGACGTTAAGGACAGCAGCGTTGTCATAAAAAGCGAGTCGAGCGACAATTCGTCTACGACCAACCACGTGAGCGACACACCGGATATCGAGAGAAACAACAACGGTTGCGAGGGTGGCGAAAGTGAACGAATAGAGGAAATCGGACCAACGCTGCGCTCTAAAACGAAGGCACGCAATTCAGATAGCAATAGCGATGTTAAATCTGTTGATAGCGATGTCAAAGTCGAGGATAATAGTCGCAGCGCTGTGAAAAGTGAGTCAGACGCGATAAAAAAGGATCGACTTTTATCAAAATTTGTCGAAACGAGAAGTTCTACTGGAGCTATAAATAATGCACCTAAGAGTCGCAGGAGCAGTCTAAACATCGACATGAGGCGCACATCGTTGTATACAAGTGGTAGCGACAAAATTACAGTAGATGGTGGATCAAAGTCACAAATCGATCAAATGATCGATAAAATTAAACTGACGATTGCCAAGACGATTGAGAGTAAAATCTACAAACCAGATAATAAAGGCTTGATATTAGGCAAGAGCTTTGAGGTGCCTAAAATCGAGGAGATTGTGGCACCCCTCAGCAATGATACGACGACGCCAAAGCTGGAGGACGATGCTGAGGAGGAAAAGCCGAATGTATCTAAGAGCAGAGGTGAGAGGAAATAGTTTTGATTGCATGACGATGGGAACATTTGTGAAAGTTGATGGATTTTTATTTTTTGGTATTGTTGACCTCTACATCTAACTGTGCATGAAACAATATTCTTGCACTTGTTTAGAGTAATTGTTAATTTTCAATATAAATTACAATCTCATTATAAAGATTTTGTGTTATAAATGATAATGCAAATTTGTTACATAAAAGTTACTGGGCATTAGAGCATAGAAAATCATTGAGGGGAGATTTTAATATTTGCACGATAATATATGAATTTTTGATTTTAATATAATTCTATAAAAATTAAGGATTTCACGAAGTCATACTAACAGATAATTTTTTAATTTCTCAGTAGATACTAACAACAATAATAATATTAACAAGAACATGTATAATAACGTAGTATAATTAATAAATATATTTAACAGTAGTAATTGTAGTGGTAATTACATGCCCTCACCCTTTAAAAATAGGTCATGCAAGAGATTATACACATTGTCCATAATATATCAAAACATTTTTTTATTGTTGATTTGAAAATATGTTTGTTTGAAGTATTATTGAAATTTATAAAATGATAAAATGTATGTTACATAAATGACTATAATTTCAAATGCTTATTCGTACAATAGATCGATTGTAGTGAAACTATATATTCTTTACTTATGAAATTTGCACTAATGATAAATAATTATTGAATTATAAAAATTAGCGCTTAAATTTATTAAAATAGTAGTCAATTTTAAAAAATGAAACGATGAACGTATTCCATTTATTTATTAATTTTTTTAAATTTTGTTATATATAATTCTTTTATATTATTAATATAAAAAATATTTGTATGCATATACAGATTATAGTGTAAGCAAATACGTGGTTCAGAAAATCATTTAATTAGGTGATGTAAATATTTTTCGTTTAAATTAAAGTTTAAATAATAATCTATTAATTTTTTTCAAATTGTAAAATATTTCAATATATTATATATAAATCCTGATGGATTATATTACTAGTAAGTATGAATGTACAGTCAGGTATACATAAAAATAAAAATGAACCTAATTTATTGTATTTGATATAATTTTTAATTACTTAAACGAATAGTTCAATAATATTAATACGTTGAATGAAGTTTGTAGATTAATTTATAATTTGATATTTGATTATTTATTTATACATTATTCTATAAAATAAAAAAAGACATTGGATAAATATTCTTATTTTGTCGTTGAAGAATTAAATACGGGAATCGGCCCGAGTACGGCGAAGAAGGAACTGAAGGTGGAGGACGCGGAGAATTCGGTGCCGAGGGTGGCCGATACTGCCAAAGAAATCGAGAAACTAGTCATGGGCGACATCGAGCCGGCTGAATCCCAGCCGCAACAAGAGAAGAGTGAACAACCGGTCGACGACAATGATGCCTCCGTTGGCGTCGAGTTGGAGGATGCTTTAAAGAAGGACGAGCAGATAAACGACAAGGGGAGTCAGCAGAGTGCAAGTACAGAGAATCTCGATGATTCTGGTAAGTGTTTGTGCAACTTAACTTCCTTCTTACATAATGTGCAAGAATTTCTACTATTTTTTAAGAAGTAAAAGGCATACGACTTTCTACTTTTCACCATAACGTTGAATTGCAAAATCTATTGCATTACACAAATCGATAAAAATGACTCAGTACTTTTTATATTTTCTATGAAGTTTTAGTAATTACATCATGTAATCGACTTTTTTGATTTTCATTAAAAATCATATCGATAACAAATAATATTTAAATATAATTTATTAAATTAAAATTTTTTTTTAATATTTTGTTTAATTAAATCTTTCCAAAATTTAATTGATTGATTTTATTCAATTGTGTTGATCAAGCATAATTTTCGAGAAAATTATTATCGAGTGTTTTATAATTTTACAAAGAAATTTAATATTTGTTACAGATTAGTTATCTGTAAAAGTAAGCGTTGACGTATCATATTTTTAATTCATACCATTTATTATAAATTTATTGGAACTTAAAAAATTAACTTAATATTTTTAAATTATCAAAATATTTGTTTACTGGGCTATTGCAATTGATTAGTTAAATAGGAACGTATGTAATGCCACTTATATACATATTTTTTCTTCCAAATTAAGTTTTAAGAGTACTAAAAATCAATAAAATATTACTAGAAAAGTTTTTTTAGAAAAACTCTAAAAAAGTTTTCTTTTTATTAATTACATATCTTATAATCGTATGTGATTTGAAAAATATTTGTAACATATTATATTCTACGTATAAAATAATTATAAAATATGAATTTATTTATTTATTTATATCTATGGTGAATTTTCTATCGTACATATTTTAGACGTAATATATATATATATATATATATACATTTCTATATAAGTGAGGAATGTGCACACGTATGTCCAATCATACATTTAAGTGTGAGTGAAAATCTATAAATAATCATTTATGATTTCTAATCATTAAATTTTTATTTTATTAAATATACTAAAAATTATAATCTATAATCCAATTTGAGTTCAGAAAAAGCCTTTGAACTAAACCTTTTCTTTATTTTATTAATTTTTAAAAAATTGTATAAAACAATATTATTTTGATTAAATTGAATTTAAATGTACTTTAGTTATTAAACTAGAATATGCGTAGATACTAAAAATAAAAAGTTCTTACAGTTTTTATAAAAAAAAAAGAAAGCTCTTATAAAGTGAGAGCTTCATTCGATGTTTTTGCATTCTTTATTTCTTTTCCTCTTAATTTAAGATTTTATTAAAAAATTACTTTGTGAAAACAAAAAATACATTTTTTTTTAAATATCTAAAGTTTTTATTTGTGATGTAAGTGTAACTGTAATGTTTAACTTTTTGCAAATCAATAATTTTAAGATTTTATAATATAGATATATAAATTGCATACTTATATTCGGAGAATTTTTTCATTGAGTCTAATTAAAATAAAATTAATTTTGCAAACGTTTGTTTAAAATATTTTAGATATACAATATACGCTTAAAGTTTATTTATTTATTTTTAAGATAATAAAAATATTTATATTATTTTTGTTTTTTTTTGAAAAGTCCAGAATAAAATAAATGCGTTTATAGATGTCATTTATTAAGAGAAAAATATATGAACTTTTCGTAAAGTTGAATATATCGGTTAGAACATATAAATTTTTGATGTTAGAATAAAAAATATATATGATAAATATTTAATTATTAGGAAAAGACTCGACTGTTAAGCAGCCCGATGACGTAAAGAAATCTGCCTCAACATGCTCAATACGAAAATCTACAAGAGCAACAGTGGCAAAGTCTTCAAATGTTTCAGAAGTAAAAAAATCTATGAGTACGCAAGATATTTGCAATGAATTGGAGAAACTTGATGAAGAAGAGATTAAAACACCGGAAAAAGAAAAAACCTCAATTTTAAATATTAAACCTGAAGAAAATGGGGCTAAAGCTACCGAGGAAGAAACATCTAGCGAAGCTTCTAGCATTAAAGTAAAATTTATATTTATTAGTCAAATAATATAGTACACTTTAAATGAATTTCTGATTAGTTTCTAAACTTGTAACTACATAGTTATAATATAAAATTTATTAGAAATATTATTATTTGGTAATGGAGATATTTGATTCCATGTCATTCTTGTAATAAATAGGATAAAATTCATAGTTTTTTTTTCAATACACATTCTTAAACTTTGATTTAAAAATTAAAAAGTTCTAAGAATAAATGTTACAAATGTTAAAAAAATTAGAATAACATTATTGTTTATCATAACCATTGAAAATAAATACTCATAAAATTGTTTAATTCACATGTGTAATTAAGGATATTGTTATTGTTTCAGTGTGACACAGATGAAATCGAAAATAAAGATCTAACAGAAGATTCAACAGATGTAGATAAGGTTGATGATGTAATTACTCCCGAAATTTGCACGGAAAATGAAAAAATAGAATGTGAAGAATCTAATGGATCTGAAAAGAATGAAGAGACTTTAGAAAGTTTATCTATGGAAGTTGAAAGACTTGTTGAGGCCGATGATAATGAAAAGACGACAGAAAAAATATCCGAAATTACGGAAAATGAGGGCTCATCTGACGTAGAAATGCGATTAATGATTGACGAAGAAGTTGCAGATTTAGCTCATGAAGAATCAGATTCGAAAAGTTCTGAATTACAAATAAACAATAATAAAGATGGCTGTGATGAAAAAAATTGTACTGAAAGTCCCGAAGATGTACAGAAAAACGAACCTGAAGTAGAATTTTCAAATGTTACACAAGAAAATAAAGAAACAGGAATTATTTCTCCAAAATTGATAGTATCTGATGATAAACCAAAAGATACTGTTAAAACGAAATTAACTGAGATCGATGAGGTTGAAGAACAAAAAGAAAATAGACGAGTTCTCAGAACTAGGGCTGACAAACAGAAAAAAGTCGAAACAATCAAATCTGGATCTACTTCAATTCCTCTTGCTCAAGACAAGTCTGAAGTAAAAGTAATAAAGATCGATGATACTATCATTTCTGAAGTGCCTTTAATAACTTCGCAGAATAACACTGAATCAGACAATACTGGGTAAGAATGTACATTATGCATATATATATATATATATATATATATATATATATTGATTTGAATTTTCTTGAAAATATAGTTAATTATAAAGTTATTTTTAATATTATTTATAGACAAATATAAAAATAAAAAATTTTATTCAGTTTTTATTCTATTTTAATCATGAATTCTAACAGTTCAAATCATGAATTTTTTTATTTCATATTTATATTACATTAACATTTACACGGGTACATTAAAAAAAAAAAAAAAAAAAATATTATTTCAATGCTTTTATTTTGGGATAATTTTTAAAGTATTAAGTTTTAAATATAATCTAATCACAAAAATTCAATAAAACATTAGACTAACATATCAAATTCATAAAGTTAAATAGTTAAAGTAAAAAAAACTTGTGTGATTATTATTTAAGTAGTAACCAAAGTCAAGCATCAACCAATGAAACAACTGATTTGATGGAAGCAACTGCAACTATAAAAGTAGAAGTGGAGGAACAACATGAACCGCAAATCCGAACTCGACGTGGTAGAGAAGCGAAGAAGCCACCACAAATCCAAGTTGTAAAGGGCAAACGTGGACCAAAAAAACAGGAAACAAAAAAAATTGAATCGCAGCAACAGAACAAAGAGGAAACACTGCTGGATAATGAAGTGGCTAAAATTAACGAAAACGATCGATCTTCGGGTTATTTAAAAACAGATGAAAGTTTGCGAGGATTTTCGGCGAATGCCGGAAGTAACGCAGAACAGCAAAAGCTAGAAGTGCAAGAAACAAAAGGTCGTAGTAAATCTGAAAACGATGTACGATCTACCAAATTAACTAACGACATATTAAAATCTGAGAGCGCGGACCTTACTTCTTTAGTAGAAACGGAAACCACAGATACAACGGAAGTGACGGAACCGATTGAAGTTGAGTGCAAAGGGACCATTACAAAAGATTCAGATGAAGCGTCAACTTCCGGTGAATCCTCTAGCAGTGTGGAAAAAATTTTAGAAACGCCCGAGGACAGAGCAAAAAAAGAGGATATTCTAAGGCAATTAGGCTTGGAATCATGGCAAAGAGTAAAGGAAAGAAAGGCGAAAAAGGAACAGCAATATACTGGCACGCTTAAGACGATAATTAGGTTACAAAAGGAAAAAGAAGGAAAGAAGAGGTCTAGATCACCACTGAAAATGGTACTTAAACAACAAGGACGAATGGATGGAGAAGAGTCTTTCGATTTTTACACCATTCAGAAGGAGGTGAGAATATTGTCAGAGTAATTTATATACATAAACACGAGTGCGTATAAATGCGTGTGTGTGTATATATATATATATATATATGTATACAGAATGCGGAAAGATTTTTACAACGTAATCATGTAAATTACTGTGCTATCGTGATTAAATATTAAAATCTCCAAAAACTTGATGTATAATTTAATTTAAATAAAATTAAATATAATGAATATATATAATATATATAAATATATATATTAATATAATAATATTATATATAAATATATATATGAATATATATAATATATATAATGATAAAAAATTTTGCTTTAATAATGTATCATAATTGATTTTGATTTTTGTCTTTATATAATTTCTATTTATAATTTAATTATAGTATTAATTTTGTTTTCAATAGAAAATTAAATATAAATTTGGATTTTATTTAATAGAGCTTTAGTAATATGAAATATAATTTTCTTTTGCAGTTTGGAAGCAGTGGTTTGGTCGATAGCAGTTCTGGTGCGAACCGAAAGTTACCTACTAACCCCAGACACTCTTGCGGTAATCTTGGTTGTGGGCATAACTACATTTTTAATCAAAACCCATTCCCATTGCTTAATAAATTACACACTATGATTACTGGCATTAAAAAAATACTTTCTGCATGATAGAATCTACATATTAATCATATTAACATTAACATACTTCATTTTAATTAAGATGTCACACAGTTTAAAATTTTAAACATTATTAAGAAGTTGGTATAATTATATTAACTATATATCATAATTAAAATCAAGATTTAATTTGATTGAAGTATTATAGTTATTAAATTATTTTTTTTAAATAAAAAGATTATCTAAATATTACAGGTTGTGAGGACATGTAACAGTATCTTACATAATCTATAATTCACTGAAAAAATATAAATATGTGTTATAAATTAAAAATTTTTTTTAAATAATACTGTAAAATTTATCTATGAATGAAAATTTATAAATTAGTTAAAACTTATTAATTTGAAATCACTTTAAAATATAAATTTAAGTTTTTCTTTCAAGTTATAAGATGTTTTATATTATTCTATTTTTAATAATTTTTCTTTTATTCATATGCTGCATTATCATACATTCGAAATTCAAAAATGACTTTCACGCTTCTATTTGTAAATAATGATTAAAATTTTATGAACAAAACACCTATCAAAATAGTCATGGGTATATAGTTAGGTTAAAAAGTATCTTTTATATACAAAATTTAATTACAACAGCAAATATATTTTTGAAGTCCAATAATATTTTAAATAAAATTTGTTTTAATTATTAAAATTCACTTCATTATTTTATAATGAAATGTTATGAAATATATTTTTATAAATAAAATATCTTATTTTTATAGAAAAATAATGTATTTTTTAAATCTGAAAATTATTTGTAATGCCCATGATTTGATATATTTATTTCCAACTTTTTATAATCATGTGGTTATTTTTAGACGAAGATAATGATGATGCACCATTGAAAGATAGACAGTCCCTTGTTATTCCTGAAAAATCCTCATCCTTTTCAATTCATCCGGGGCGGCTTTGCGCTGACAATTGCTGTTACTGTCATGGGAAGTTTGGCTCCTTGGACACTCCCATGCATCTTGCACAAATGAAATCAGACGAAAGGAGAAAAAAGATTTTGGAAAATGAAGTACATTTAACAAAGGACTCGTGTCTTTGTGATGCTTGTTACCGACACGTTGACAGAAAAGTATGCGTAGTTTTTAGCATTTTTATTTATAAATACATTAAATAATGAAATTATCCCTATTTACATGTAGAGTAGAAACAATTTGTAAATTTGATTGATATATTATTTGGTTACTTTTATATATTTGATCCATAGTATTATTTGAGAAATTATTAAATAAATGATATTTATAAAACATTATTTATAGGCAAATATGAGCCCTACAAATATGCAATTAAAACCACAACGACAACATAGACAATCCATAATGGGATGTATGGCTCGTAATTGTTCGGAATCTGCTAGACATCATGTAAAGCGTCGATGGCTTCTTAAAATCAAACCTAATCTAAGGAATCAGGCAAGTACTTTTTGCAAGTTATTGAAAAATTATCGATGATTTTCAATATCTGTTTTAAATTTATATGTAATAATAATTAAAAGACGTGTTTTTGTATGATCGATGGAATTACATCAATATGTTTTTAGTACATTCTTTGTGATAATAAATTTAAATTTCGTTAAGTTTGAGAACGTGTAATTAGAGAAATAAGATTTTTAGTTATCTACTTCAGATTTCAATTATTTCATTAACGCGTTGTTCATTATTTAACAAAAATTTGAAGTACCGGCTTATTTTATAATAGGTGGACATTAATTGGGAATCAACGCAACATAATCTTATGACATTTTGTGGTACACATTATACCAAGATTGAACGGTTTTTAACTTGCACGCTTTGTAAGCGACGACTAACGCGTAATTATACATATCCACTTGGATTGACGGCCACATCGACCGAGGAGCTCAATAAACGTCTTCGACAACAGGGCATACCCGCAGCAATGGTGGTGAATACTTTCGTGTGTAGATTATGTCGATATTTCACCAAGCTGTATCTAAAAAATAATGATTTCGAGAATATGAGTGACAATAACAAAGACTTTCATAAAAAATACAGGAAAAAGTGAGTATTATTTTTACCTATATTATTCTAATTTGAGAAATATTAAAGTTAACAGTCATTTTTTATATATAACTCAATATGTTGCAATTATTGTCTAATTATTTTCTTTTTATTCAAAGTTGAATTTTAACTTTTTGGAATTATAATTATGTTAAAGTAATTTTATCAAAAGTGTGTAAAAAATATATATGTGCACGACTCAAAGCAGAAAATTAAATATTGACATATTATAATCATATGTAGTAGTATTTTTTAATTTTCTGTTAGAATACAGATATTAGTATAACTCATATATAAAAATTTTTATTCTTTCTAGACTTTTATACTATCACGATATCGATGTGCCAGATAGTGAAGAAGAAACGGACTCTTCTAACCAAATTTCCAAAAACAAAGAAAAAGGCCGACCTCCTGGTACTGTTGGCAGGAAGCCTAAATGTGGATCGTCAGGTATCAAACTTCCTATTTCCAAATCACCGGATAATATGGAGAGCCACTCTACGAGTACGTCGGAGAAATCGAGTCCTGAGCCTCCAAAGACTGAGTCTGGTGAACCCGAGGCGCACATCAAGGGTGAAGCTGGTAGTTCCGCGGATGGTCGTTTCTTAGGTATAGAAGGCGCTATTGAGAAATTAAAGAAGCGCAAAGCCTTGGATACAGGCCATGGTCCTCGAAATTTATTGAGCAGTGTAGCCGAAGTGACCAGTAACGGTGACAATAGTGCTAGGGACGTCGTTGAAATCCTCGCCATGGATAAAGAAGTGACTCTTACGAGATTGCCGAAGAGGCCACGTTTAACCAATAATAATACGACTAACGACATAACACCGGTAGTGCAGCGACTCGGAGCAAACCCCTCGATAAGTGTACGTACACTCTTCCCCGGAGAGGAAGAGATGAGTCTTCACGCGAACGTGGAATTCGGTAATGTGAGGGAAGTAACGCCCCAAGGGTGGGAGAAGTGTGCGACTATGATTCAATATGATAGGGACACAAAAATGTTGTGGCAAGAGTTACAAAGGCCGTATGGTAATCAGAGCAGCTTTCTCAGGCATCTTATATTATTGGAGAAATATTACAGGTGAATTTAAAATAAAAATCTAATAGGCTTAAGTGTAATAAATATGTAAGATAAATGTTTTGTATACAAAATTAGTTTAGCGTATGTTCAGATAATAATTTAAAATAATTTTCAAAGTCAAAGTTTTATAAAATGATTTATTATTTAATATTAATAAAATTGTTAATAATAATTGACTATTGTATAGATTAAATTAAATCATATAAAAGAAAAGAAGAAAAATAAATCAGTGTACAATGTTTGATTTATTAATTTTATGTAGATAAAATACTTAATAGAATAAATATTTTACATATAAAAATTAATTTTTTATAATGAACTCAAAAGTCCACCAAATTTTATTCATAATCATCAATTTGTTATCATGTTTGACAAAAACAATTATTTTTATTTATGGGACTATGTACTGATACATCTGAACAGAGTACATTAAAATTAATAAATCGTTTATCTAAAATGAATTAAATTATCTTTGATGGATAAATTGTTAGAAATACATGTTGTTTGATTATTCAATATAAAAATAAGTTAATCGTGTAGGAATTAGAATATATATATATATATAAGTTAATAATCCTGACAACATGTATTTCCATATAAATTTTGCTGTTTGTCTTGTTCGATAAAATATATAATGTCTTGTTAATTAGTTAATCTTATTAACTTTCTCTAGGTCTGGTGACTTGATATTGGCGCCAAATGCTTCTAGGAACGCAATAAATTACTCGACTTCGGTGCAGAATCGTTTAATTTCGTACGAAGGTCCAGAGAAGCCAGAGGAGCTGATTATCGAAGCGCCTACTATAATGGAGCACAGTAGCTCACGTCGTCTAAGCGGTGGTTACATCCTCGAGAATCGTGAGCACAGGTCGTCCTCCATTAGTGCCTCGGCAACGAGCAGCAGTACTTCAAGTTTCGCCAACGTAGCGGCACAATTATCGAAGCTCGATGCATCATCTCGACCGATGAAACTCACTCCTGGTCTATCGATAATTAAAAAACCACCACCGAACTTGCAGCGACTCAATCTTGGTAGTGGTAGTGGTGGCCTTGGCGTTGGTGGTGTAAATGGAAGTGCGAAGAGGAAAGAATCGTTACCTGTACAGAAAGGAGGAGCAAACGCGAGTCTCACGACGCCTGGTGGTAAAGTTTTTCAGTTGACAGAACCCGATTTCAAGAGGCTACAGAATCTTAAAAGACAGAAGCAAATGAATGAAAGGCAAACAACCTCAAGTCCTAATAGTGGTTCAGGTATAATAATAGATTATTTTGTTTGCTTTAAAACGTCTCCATTCGATAATTGAATTGAAAATAATGTCAATAGTATTTGTTAAATTAATCTTACTTATATACTTATATATTAAGAAATGGTTTCAATTTCCAAATTAATAGACTAATTAATTGCATGCATTTTTTAATGCTTTTTTTTTATTTTTTTTTTTTAATATTCTTTCTACATAAATTGTATTTATTGCGTTAGACGTTGTGTACTGAAAGTACAACTGAAAATGATTAAAATTGTTGATCATTGAATTTTAATTAAATTTCCAGGAAGCTCGAGTTCACCACCTAGTAATTATAAGAATGCAACGTCATTAGCCGCACAGTACCAGAAAGCCCAGCAACTTGCAGCCCAGTCACAATTCCAGAAGCATTTGCGCATGCAACAGGAGATGCTTAACCAACGCAGCCGCGGTGATTTCGAGCCTCTTATTTGCGATATCCGCAGTCTTGCAAATGAAAACACACCAACGCAAAATCTCATCAACAACCTGAATTTGCCAAAGTCAATACAGGTTACGACTAAGGCGCCAACGGCTACGAGTACACCTATTCCTATTCTACCGAAGATACCTAAGAGCCTGACGGTGATCCCGCAGACGGTTGCTAGAACCCAAGACAAGTGATACCCGCGAAGGAAGAGGCGGTCGATTGCCGCCTCGAGTCGGGATTTTTTCTTTTACGGTTCTTGTGACCATCGTGGATGAAGATATTTTCACTTGTGTGTGTTCCCGCTCCCATTATCCCACTTTTTTCGACAGAGAGAAAAAAGAAGTGAGTTCTTTTTAAAAATGTAGGAGCAACCAAAGCTGTGTTGATAAACTGAAAAAGTGCCTAATGAAAGTGACTTAAGATGTGAAAATTTATTGAATTTTTTTGAAAAAGAAGAGATGCATCTCGTCGTTTTTTAATATTATTATTTTTTTTTTCGTACTGAAGTTGAAGATGATTATGAACCTTTAAAGGAACGTTTAAAGGAATAATAGTTTGAACGAAGAATTTTTAAATATTCGTACGTAGCGCCATTAAAAACTATATGTATCATATATAATTACTACAGTTTTTTCTTAAAAAGCTTCAATACTGCCTCTCTTATGATTAGTAAAAATTTGTAATTATTAATTATTGAGTTTTTAAGGAATATTAAAAATTAAATGAAGCAAATCAAACTGACGTAGTAACAGCTTGTGCATTTTAACTTTTACAAAAATATCTCGCCCATTAAAGAATTGTAAATTCTTCGTTCATCTGTTCAAGTCAATACTATCACTGACCTATTAGCAACTATACACAAGCGACATGCCTTTTTCTTTTGTTGCTTTAAACGACGATGTATACATATGTGAGATAAATAAGGACAACAAATAAGAAAATGGAATTAACGAAAACTAATTCTCTTTGATGTGATATGTGATTTAAAACAGAAATAATAAGGCGAGAAACTCTTTCAAGCTAAAGGAAAGATACGAAGTGCAGAAAGGGCCTTCGGCGCACGGATTATTGTCTCGTATTGGCGACCGAATCTCATAGATATTTTATGAGAATGTTCCTCGGGAGCCGAAGATTTATCATCATCATTATTTTTATTATTATTACTATTATTATTATTTTATTATTTTTCATGCACTTAGGCCTGCGAGATAATCAGTTATAATATTAAAAAAAAAAAAAATCATGCACTGTTACCGTGCTACCGGCTACCGTGACAACTACGATGATAATATTTGTAATTATTAATCAATTAATGGATTTAATTATTAAAAGTAATGAAGCAGAAGAACGCGAAATTAAGCAACATCGTTTATTATAATTAACTGTAGGTCACGCGTTGAGCTTATTTATTACGTTATATACTATTGTATACAACTGCATTGTACATAATTGAACCGATTATAGGTTTTTAGTTTAACAATTAGACGTTTACCTTCATTCGAGTGTTGAAAAGTTCATTTCTTTTCTTCTTTTCATTTTATTTTATTACGAGTTTTATTTTTTAAATAGGAATGGAAAGAGAAGAAACGCGAACGCAAGAAGATGTAATGATATTACTTCAAAAAATCACAAAAATTAAAAAAAAGTGAATGGTTGAAAGCATTGCATTAAGAAAGTAAAATGAAAAGCGATACTTTCAATTTTTCTTTCAATTGAAGCTTTTCGTTAAATTATTGTTTTGCGTGTACATTTTCAGCAAATGTAAAAGAAGTTTACAATATTTCAAGTTTTTTTTATCGATACATTAAAATATAAAACGCGTTTTACCTTTGAACAATATTGTAAAGTTTATAACATTATTTTTACTAGTTAAAGTATGTAATATTAAAATATTATTTTTATTATGACTAGTTTATTTTAATGACTAGAATGATTTTTATATCCGAGTGTGACGTAAAATTGGTGATTTTTTTTTTTTGCAATTAAAATTATTTTCTATTTTTACCAAATCTTTACAATACATTCTAAGTATTATAATCCTCATTTAATATTTAGTCTCTTCTATTATATCATTTTATTCTAGAATTTATTTTCCACTTTCTGTAAAAATATCATTCCGTTTCTCCTCTTTCTTCTCTTGTGTAAATATAATGATTGATGTATGTGTTTTGCTATTTGCAAACTCGAAACAAAACACTTTTCGACGAATATTCGAACTCCGAAAGTGGAGAATGTATAATGAAATTTGAAGATACAGAAAAGAAGACAGAATTAAAGTTTAATATGAAAAAGGGGAAAATGTCAACACTATATATAGTAAATGGAAATATAATAACAAAAGGTACTTGAAGGTACTCTATATATATACATGCTCTATTTTATTAAGGATATTTTTGATATATTTATATATAAATATATGTATATCGAATTTAGAAAGAAATAATAATAAAAGAGGCAAGAATATTATTAAAGAATGGACTAAGAACGAATTGAATAAGAGAAAGTATAAATAATAATAGTACGACGTCGCATTTTTGATAAAAAATATATAAAAGAGAAAACTACACGAGAATAGTTGATGCATGTTGAGATGGAGGGATGCCGGGCGAGATTTATTGTTTTTTTAAAATTCCCGATACAAATGTTAAAATACTTCGTATATGTTAAAAAGAGTTGAATACTCTTTAATTTTTATTTTAATTATTCGTTTAAAAGGATTATTTTCTTATACAGCGAGATAACTTGGATTGCAATAATTGATATATTTATAATTATATTTATGTGATGTATAAAAACTTAAATTTAAATAATAATATAGCAAACTTTGATCAATATATTATCTGAATTTTTTTTATATATGTTTATAATTTTGTTTCAATATACAATAGCCTTATATAAATGTAAGAATAATATTTTTAATTTTACATTATAATATTGAAGAGCAAATAAATAATATTTTTTAATGAATATAGTAAAATTTCTGTTTTTCTATTATGTATCATTTGTCTTATCTGCACCATTTTACAAAAATATTCTGTGATACTTTTAAATCGAAAAAAAGAATATAAATATTTAAATATTGTTCATGGCCAGTATCAAATAGAATATTTGATTAATATTAAAATTATAATGTCTTTATTCAGTACGATGACTGAATTTTATATTATAAAAAATAAATTTTATGCCTAACAGAAGTAAATAAGATTTCTATAAAATTTTGTCAATGTTCAAAAAATAATTCTTATACAATATTATAAAAAAAGGATAGTAAGTTGTTAAATGAATAATTGATCGATGTTAGAAGAACAATTAAATTAATACTACATTTAAATGTAATATTTATCCTATGTTACATCACGTAAATTTGTAATAAATTTTGTATAATTAATCGATTTTATTAAGCATCATATATGAATGATGAAGTTAGTTAATCGTTCTTGAACTCTCAATTACAAGTTATTTCGTTAAAATTAAAATAGTAATTGAAACACTTATGCAAAGGAAAATATGCATGTCGCTTTAGAAAATGAAATTATGAAAATTTTACAAGTATTACTTGAGGAATGTGAGTAGTTGTGATCATTCATTGCCAGACGGGTAACCAATTTCGTCCCGTTACTACTTTCAAAATATCGGGGACTCGCCTGTGCATCTCTCGGTGCATCCTAAATAAACATTGAGTGAAAAATTATTGCTTCAAATTCAACGTTGTTATTAATGTTTGCTTACATAATTATATAATTTAATAACAATAAAATTAAAAAAATCATTAAAAATATAGATTTTTATCTTATTCTTCACATTAAAATAAAATACTCAGTTTAAAAATCATTGATAATTATGATTAATATAAATTCTATCTCTCAATAATTAAAATATTTTTTATTGGTAATGAACTTATTATAATAGTTTTTTTTAATCCATCTATTTATGTTATTACATTCAAATTTATAAGATTATATGAATTTTGTGTCAATAATTTTTTCTTGGTGAAGCATATAAATAAAACTCCAGAACAAAAAATGAAAATAGTATGAGGCACTCTGTTTAAGTTTAAAGAGTTCTATTTTTCTGGTGGAAGAGAGTTTAGAATATCAATTTAAATGAAGAAAAGGAGAATACAGAAAATTATATTCAACGGTCAACACAAAATAAATTGATATTTTAAACTCGTTAATATGAATATATAGTGGAATGTCAATCTGCAATTTATAAAGAGAAAATGTTTGGTAAATCTTTATGGAATTGATTTTTCTTACTAATTTACTAATTATCTTTCAATAATAAAAGTTTTATATTAAAGTAATTTGTGGTAAAATATTTCTCTGTATTTTTCGATTTATTTATATAAATTTTTTAAAGATTTGATTAACAAAAGAATTTCTTTATAATGAAATTGAATTATCTAATTTATTTTAATAAATAAGAAGGATTATGAACAAAATTTCAATTGGCCATGCAAAAATATTAATTCTGATAATGTTTTGCCAGATTTATTTCCTTTAAATGTATAGGTATATCTAATTAGCGACAAATTTAATGAGATATTGAAAAAATTTAAAGTTTATTTTATGAAGCAATAAAATTTGTATGGAACTTGTTATATAGCTGACGATCGAAGACTCTTGAGTGAATATTTTTGTTTACTTTTTTTTTTTTTTTTTTCACGTGTAAATTTCTTTCCTCTCGGGTTATCAGGTTAATCAACTGTGCTTCTGTACTTGATATGTAAATACATTCGCCCGACTTGGAAAAGTTGATGAGAATGCGTTTTCTGTTTATATTATGGATCTTTATATGTAATATTTATATTAATTAAGATCGTATATTGGTGATTAATTGTAAATGCGAACATTATGTCTATTGATTTATTTTATTTTTATAAATTATTTTATAAATAAAATAAATTAATTGTAAACGAAAAAATGAATGATTGATCATATTGATTTTTAATAATATATTAGTATGTAATTGTGTAAAAAATTTTCATATAACGTGAATTTAGTAAATTGGCTTGTACGTATTTTAAAGTTATGTAAAGAATAATGAGTTTACTAGAGTCTGTATACGATTTTGTTCATAAAAGCGAGTCGAAAAAAAGTGAAATTAGTGCCTTTTCTATTACTGCGACATTCAATTTGCTCTCTATTTATAATATAATTTTAAAATAATATATTGAATTTCACTTAATTATATTTTCCAATATAAATAATCCATTATAAGAAATATCTTGATGTTCAATAATAAGTATTTAATTTTAAATGTTCATTCTCTTAATTATTTTATATAATTAAATTTAAATACAGGTTGTTACAATTCCTTAAGTAAATGATTTTATCGATGATATCTTTAATAAATTTAGTATTTATAATATATTTGAAATATATAATTATTAAAGTATATTTTTAGAATGCTATTTAAAATTAAAAGATAATTATATTGAAAATTAATTAGGAGTGGAATTTAAGTATACAATCCGGAATAGAAAATGTATTTAATAAATTATTAATTTTTTATACTAATTAATTCATTTTTAATATATTCAAATAATATTGCTGACATGATAAACATTATTTCGATTAAAATCAGGAAATGACATGAATGAGTATACGAAAATTTCGTGCTTCGAAATATAACTTAGTCAAGTATTTATATACGAAAATAAGATATCTGATTAGGACGTATCGATTCTAATTAATCACAAAAAAGTGCTTTTAATGATTGAGAATAATTAAGCTATTATCTATACAAAATATTTAACCTATGAAAACAAATTATGCGGACATTGTCTATTGGCAGAACCAAAATTAAAATGTAAAAACGCATTTCGTGGACTTTTCAGAGTGGGCGAAGGTAATTTATTAAGCATAAAAATATATTTGTTTACACATACTGTAATTTTGTGTACACAAACTATTTGTGCAAGTGTGTGTAGGAGAGAGAGGGAGGAGAGAGAGAGAGAAAGAGAGAGAGAGAGAGAGAAAGAGAGAGAGAGAGAGAGAGAGTGAGAGAGAATTTAATAAAATATGAGGTGGGAGTAAATTTAGATACACTCAAAAATATGTCGGCGATACAAGTTAGATAGATAGAGATAAAGGTAGAGATAAATAGATGAAAAGAGTGAGATAGATGAGAACAGAGGAAGAGAGAGAGAGAGAGAGAGAGAAAATTGTCTATGCGAATTTAATAATAATAATAGCAAGGATGAGAGAGAAAGATCTCTCATTTTCTCAGCGTTATGTATATGTGTATCTTGGCGGACGCGGCGCCTCCCTGCAGTTACGATTATTATTATTATTATGTTATTTAAATTAATAATTAACACGTTACTATCTTATTATAACAAGCCTTTGTTTATTTAGTTATAAAAAGTGTATTAGGTTATTTAGTTCTCCAATCCTTTGTACATATTCGCAAGACTTTAATAAAAGCGCAAAAAAAGAGAAAATGAATACGTCTGGCGACATAATTATTTAGACTTTTTATTTTAATACATCATACATCAATCCTTAAACCGTCTTTATTAAACCATTAAAATTATAAGTGTTATTCATAAATCGATCCGATTTTTATTATTGTTGTAGTTTTGATAGTAAAAAGAAATTTTCGAAACTTATAATTTAATAAGATTATATATATATATTTTTTTTTATTATAATACAACTTTTATGATATATTAAAATTTATTTTAAAAAATGAATAAACAATTCCTTTTATATTTTTGATTATTCAATTCTATAAAAGTACTGCAATAAAAACATTTAAATAATTGAACTTCATTTTATTATTTATTTTGCTCTTTATTTGTTTCAATATAGTTACTTAATTTATATTTTATTTGAATACAAAATTTGGATTTTTTAAGATATGAGTTTATGTAAGGAAATGAATACATATTATTTGGATTAAAAGAATAATATAAAATTTACATAACAGATTGGCGTGATATTAAATAAAAAATTCTAGGAATAAATAAATAAAACGTTTTGATAAAGATGTAAAATAAATATGATTTTATTTATTTTAAATCAATTGGAATATTACAAATTCGTACAACAATACGATATCAGAATCACATTAATGTGTTTTACTTTCCATTCACTCATTTTTATACAGTGTAATATAAAACTAAATGTTTAATTCAATGCATATAAAAAAAAAAATCAGGACTATTAATATATATATATAGATTGATGGTAAAATACATTCATAGTCAATTATGCAAGCTGGCTTGCAAATATATGTAAATAAGATAAATTTTCATTATAATCAATTCACCGAAAAACTCTCATTTATTTATATTTTTCTAATAGAATATTATAATTCATTATTAATTTCAATAATACGCTTAATAGTCATGAAGTTTTTGGTGAATACAACAATTTTTGTGTTATTAAAATTTCCTTAAAATCTCATAAAATTTGAATATTTACAATTTAATGAAACAGGGACTATTGTAAGGAATTCATCTCCAAATCGAGAATCAATATTAATACGGTGAAATATTTCTATTGACAGTTAATATGATATGATTTTCGATACTGTCATTTAGCAAAATAAAATAATTATGGAGAGGCAAAAAACAAAAAAAAAAAAAAAAAAGAAAGAAAATCGTGCAAGTCACACGACGATGTAATGGTATAGCGACAGTGTATCAGAATGGGCGACGTCGAAATGATTTTTTTCTTGAACTTGAGCGGATCACTTCTTAACGGAAAAGCCATCTCCTGTAGGATCGAGTAGCCAGGGGTAGTTATTGGGGCACTCCATACAGGTGAATAGACGTAGAGTCTCGCCAGGTAACTCCCGAGTGGTGAGTGGACAGGCATTGGGCAGGGAGCAGTAGGGTTGTCCCTTCTCATCGCATTTTTCTTTCCAGGCATCGAAATCACGAAGCCCCGGAACCTCGGTTGGCTCTTGCATCCACTTGAGTACCTGAGATACGATGACAATTTTGGAATTTTATTTAAAAAGCGAACCCTTAAAGCCAAACACTATCGTTCTTATCGTGTGACAAATCAACTCGATCGCTCTGGATTATGCATTTCTTGTAAATTTATGTGTAAAAATCGAAGTTAAGATTTAAAAACTTCTTATTTGATTAAATACGTATGCGATCTATTATTAAATAGCAATAATTTAAAAGCGATTAATAAATGAGTATATAATTAGACGCCATAAGAGTAATGTAATAATTATTTGTACGTGTGAGCTTATATGAAGATTTAAGTAAATTTAACTAGCATAATTAAATTAAGATTAAAAATTACATTGGACGCTTACGTATAAATAAACAATTAAGTTAAGCTAATTATTTATTAAATATTGATGTTAGAGAACAAATAATAATGTTTCGTTACCTGCACCATGGTGACGAAGTAGGTATCGGTACGCTGAAGCATTTCTTCGATAAATTTAATGAGCTCCTCTTTGAATTCTTTCTTGCTCTTCAACCACGAGGCGTGGAAGTGTAGGCCGAGGGGAGCTCGGTTGGTGTTAAGATGACGATTGAAGTTGTGTCTTAGCAACCTAGCAAACTGCTCACCAGTCTGAATATTCGAGCATGAGTCAACCATGTGACAACCGGGTAGAGATTCATCGAATGTCGGATCGTCTCGGCGGTCAAGTTCGTTCATCACGATTTCCCAAACTGGGTGAGATCTGTAATTGGTAGTTATCTAGTAGCCTTGGTTTTGCGATATTATAGTAACTTTGTATTAACTAACGTTTATATAGAAATGCCGTAGCACTGCAAGTATTATTTAAATTTATTAGAGTTAGCATGATTTTTTTATTTTTAAAATTATTTCAAAGGAAAAACGATTAATATGATTTTAATTTATATCATTTTACTTGACATTAATTTAATAGTTTTCTAAATATTTGAATTTTTTTTTTTTTCTTAACGGATATAAAAAAATCGTGTAAATTTAATTTATTTTTTATCATTATTTCATTATTTTATACTTGTTTTAATGATTATTATTTTCCTTACTTACTAAAGAATACGATGAAATACAAACCTGGACGGACAGTTTCCACTGTTACCGTTGCACTTGTGCGGCATACGGAAGTATAAGGTGTAGGGCCAAATAGGTACGCGGCCCAAGGAGGCGGTGATGGATGCATCGTAATTAAAGAATTGATCGGCCATCATTTCAAATTGCTTGTTACCTCCCACTCGTAAATATGGGGCTCGGACTCCGATTATAGAGCTGTCGGTGATATTAGCGAAACGCTCGACGATCAAACGGGCTCCGGCCATCTCAGCCAACCAATCGTCGTACGAGCCTTCGTTAAATACATAATCAAACAATATATATATATATATATATATATATATATATATTTAGCGCGTTTCATTTAACTTAAAGATGATATGTGTATGGCACAGTGATTGAGTACTGTCATTTTCATTTTGTAAACAACCATCGTTAATACAAACAAAAAACAAACAAAAAAAAAAAAAATTAATTTTTTTTTTAACAATACGTCGAAAATATGCAATTATCGGTCATTGTTGATAAAAAATGTAAAGGAAAAAAATTAACGTATGCTCGAAACCTAAAGTGGTTTTTAAAAATCTTTAAAATCTATCTCTAGAAATATTGAATTTTAATGACTGTGTGAAACAAGAAAATTTCTCGAAACATTACGAGGTATTAACGCAAACGTACAATTTCTTGCCTACAATATCTTGAAAAAAGATAAAGAAGAAATAATTTACCAAGCGTCCAGTACTGTGGATCGTCTTTGTGCGTGAGCGAAAATACAGCAATTTCGTGACCCCGCCTGTGTAAATCCTGCACTGCCGAATAATTCGTGTACTTGTGCGAGACGAAGAATGTTCCACGAATTTGACAGCCATTGGGATTCATACGGTGGCCATTGAACACTTCGTCATATAGGTCAATGTTATCGATATTAACGGCGCCATTGAAGGTGATTGTAATCATTTGCGGCACTTGTTGGGGCTCAAGGCCGCCTGGTATTCGGGTGCCATCGGCGGAGCAATGGCAGTCGGGTAAAACGCATTGAGTTGGGTCGCAATCGGGTGCGCGATTCGGATCTGTTTCTACGGCTGTTGATCAATATGTTTACTTTTATTTGAGACTTCTTACAATTTAATATAAATATTTAGTAAAAAATTGTGTTTTTCCCCAGTTCGAGTTCGAGCTGATGTATTACGTATGTAAATTTATGTAGGTAAAGTTTTTCGTATCAAGTGATTGAAAGCGCCGATGTTATTTCAATCTTAATATTTCAAGTTCAAAACCTAAATGATCTTATATATATATATATATTGTCTATATTTTAAATATTGATAATTATTTAGGTTTTGAATTCTTCATAGTTATATCTTTTATTGGTTGTTAAAAACATTACTTTTTAAACTTAAATTCTAAAATAAACTAGCAAAAATAATTTTAAATTTGTTATTTAAAATAAATTTTAATTTGATACAGCGTTTGTATAATGATATCATTATTCTATATTAATCGATCATTACAATTTTATCTTCATCGCAGATTAGCGATTTATTTTAGTTTTTACTATGTATTATATCGTATGATCAAAACAGTATTTGCATGATTCGGTTATTATTGAAAAATTCTTGCGTTTAATAATATTGTACTTAAAAAAATATTGTTTATACACATAGTGTAACTTTAATGGCATAACCACATATCGTACCACGAGTTATTACAACAATCATAGTCACAAGTTTTTTAATCTGTATTTAGAAAATATTGATAGAACGAAACTTACTGCAGGCATTTTCATCGGACTCGTCCTTGCAGTCTGGTTTGCCATTGCAGAATAATTCTTTATCGACACACTCACCATTACCACAGGATAATTTGCCTTCAGGGCAGACTGGTTCATCAGTTTTTAAGATTGGCAGGACTTTACGCGGCTCTGGAAATTGTCAAGTACGAAATGTAATAATGCATACGTCGACGTTTTGAAGCTCGAGCGACACTTGAGACAGATTAAATTAAGACCAACAAACAACTATTTAATAAAAAATTTTTATCCTTATTCACCGTGTAAATGAATAAGCCGGTTGTTTTCTTTTATTATTGCTTTATCTGCCTTAATATTAAAAATTTAATGAAATATGTGAATTTAATTATTTATCGATCATTACGTTTATGTTAAATCCTTTTATAAATTGAATTGTATCAAATTAAGTTTACTTGTAATCGAGACTTTAACGATACTTTATGTATTTTATTACATGTTTTTCATATTTTGGTAAATACCATAATCATTATTGTATTTGTAGTTGAATTTTTTTTTTTTTTTTTAATAATGAAACTCAATAATGAAAAATCACTTTTTTGAAAATTGACGACGATTATTTCACTAATTGTAATAATCTTTTATAGCAATTTACAAAGCAATTTACAATAAAATTCTCTTTGTGATGAAGCGCTTACTCGAAAACAAGTACACTTCTTATAATTAAATATATTTACAATATGTAACAGATCATTAAACATTTGTACATATAGGCTTATCATTATAAAATAGCTCCTCCCCAGTGTGCACAAAAGTCATATAATAGAATTTCGTAATCTCGATCGTCCTGTGTATGGTTACGTAACTTGTCAAAAATTTGTTTCGTGCGTGTCGTCAAAATGCAGAATGCTTTGGTTTTTGTTTTTATTACAAATGAAATGCATTGAATGGTACCGTTATTAAATTTATTAAATATATTTCGTGATATTTTATCGATGTCAAAAAAACAAAAAAACAAAAAAAAGAAAAATTAAATAAAGTATCGTGACGCTTGAAGGAATCTCTTTTTGGTACATTCTCGTCGTCGATGCACGCCTACATATATTAAATCGAACGCAACAACTGTTATTATCAATAATAATCAGAATATATTCTTAGTTTTTATTTCTTATTGCGTTCGAATCTATAATATATATTCAGACATGTGAATTCTCAGGACAGACATTGAAAAGTATAAATAGAAAAAGAAGGCGGATTTAGGTAGAAAGAAACTATAGATAAAATGAGATACAAATGTAATAGTATTAAACATTTAAGCGATTGAAATGTTTTAGAGAAAAAGATTATATTATCTGTGATAAAAAAGCATAATATTAGATGTTAACAATTTAGAGTTTCGTAATATTTATGTAATAGTGGGCGTTAAAAACAATGTTACGTAAATTATATTATCAATTTTCAACTAATATATTTTTTTTTTTAAATTTACATGAATCAATTTTTTAATTTATTAGTCAAAAGTGTGAAATTGATAGTTTTTAAATGAAATTAAGAAATTTTCTTTCACTATACTTATATTAAATACTTATGTCTTAGTTCGATAATCTTAATATTTAAAGTTGTATTTTGAAGTAATAATCACAAGATTTACAAAAAAAATTCATTTATTATATAATGAATTAATGAAATTATTTATTGACAAAATTCTCTAAATTAAAATGAGCAATTTTATTGATTTTTTTTTTTTAAATATTTGAATTATATTAATTTGATGTATTTATTTTAATTTGATAAGAAATAAGTTATTCAAGTGATAAAATTTCGATGTTTCTAAAAAATATTTCAAGGGTGTAAAAGGAAAGTATACAATGCACGGGAAAGAAACTTTTCCTGTTGCGATCGAGTTGGTACTCACTCCATAAAAGAGAAGATTGGGAGCAGAGAACCGGATGGAATGATATTGCGAAGAAAACGAAAACAGTAGTAAATATAAGCAATGAAGTTATCGTTTTCATTCGTTTGAACCGGTACGATTTTTATCTCTCCCTCTCTCTCCC